CCGCGGGGCGAGCCAGGCCCGTCGCCTCGGGCGAGGGGAAGGATGCAGCGTTGGTTTGCCTGGCGGTGCACGAAGGGCATGAGGCTGCCAGAGCCGTGCCCGACGCCGGGATCCATGAGCCGCGCCCGTGCTTCCTTCAGCGGGACAGCCGGCAGGGAAGCGCGCACGGATGCTTCCCGTAATTCCCAGCATTCAGGCACCACCACCACAACGTGGAGCTGACAGTTACAGCTGATAAACCTCATGTTTCTCAAGGATGCAGAAGGAAACCTTTTTTTTCTGCGCTTCTGTCAGTCACTTGGTCATGAATATTTATTGATATGCGTCTTCTACTTTATCTCATAGGGCGTATGGGAAGTCCTCATGCCATTCAAGACTTATGGAAGCTGCTCTCTGTCCTGAAAATGGAGTTTTAGTCTATTGGTGACCCCAACAAGCTAAGGGAACCTGGGGAAACTTGTGGAGGGGGCCAACAGAAACCCCCAATTTTCAATGTGTGTAAAGTTCTGCGGCTGGGACGCAGTGTGGGCTGTGCAACAGTGATGTGCTGAATGGCAGCCCTGCTTCAAAGGAGCCAGGGGATACCAGGCTGAATATAAGGCAACAGCACACTCTCTCTGGAAGGAAAGTGACCAGCAGATCAAGGGAAGTGAGTCTCTACTCGGTGCTGAGGTGGCTGGATCTAGGATATCATGACCAGAATGCTCAATTTGGGCTTGCTCAGTTCCAGATCCAAGCAGAGGACTACTAACACGGTCAGGCTTTGGCACGTGACTTACAAAGAGAAGATGGGTGAGTTGGGTTTGTTTAGTCTGATAAGGAGGAGGCTAAGGTGCAATATAGTAACACGTCACAACTACCTGAAGGGCAGTTACAAAGTCGATGGAACTGAAGTCTTCTTAGTAGTGCAAGACTGCAACAAGGGGCAGTGCCAACAAACTGCAGCTTGGGAGGCTCACACTGGACAGTAGGAAAAACCCTGTCACTAGGCGAGTAGCGCAGTACTGGCATGGGTTGTCCAGAGGCACTCTTCATATTGGGATATTTTCAAGGCTTAGCCGTGCTGTGAGTGGCCTCATCCAGTTTTGGCGATCCTCCTGCTTTGAGCAGGAAGATGGACTATAGACCACCAGCCAACAATTCCATTTCATTCCAACAGGTCCTCAATTCCAGTCCCTGACTAAACTAAAACATTTATGACTTTACTCCATGACAGAGAGTTAAAACTGCCACTTGGCAGCAACAGACAGCAGTTTCTGTGGAAGGGGGGAAAGACACAATGGACCTATTTGCAGAAAGTGTATCAAGCTAAGAAAAGATGAGCCCACT